AAAATGACATGAAGACGTTGAAATGCCCCCCACACACACACATATATACTCACCGTACCTCGAAAATCTACACATGTCTTTTGGGATGTTATGCAAAAATAAGAGAAAAAACTAAAACCCAAAAAAAAAACTTTGTACATCACATGTCCTGTCTGGCATTTGGGTTCTTTCTACACATTTGGTCGACTGTCCTCAACCCACACTTAGTTGTCCTGTCTTAATGTCATATTTATTTATGATTTTTTTAATGTTTTACTTTTGTTGCTGTTGTGTTTTTCTTTTCCCCCTAAAACGCCAACAAAAGGGTCATTTGGCGACAAAAAAAGGAAGGCCATAGAAAGACGCCAGAAGTGGTATTCCTAGTTGAGAGGTTTTAAATTTAGTGTTAAGTGTTGACGCTAATAAAGCATTTATCTTATTTTGGACATCTTTTTTCTACTGGAGAACGGGTCAACAAGGGCACACTTTGTGACTCGAAATGACTATTGTGTAAAATTTATTTGTTTGTTGTTTAGCTATTTTCGAAAGTATGAATATCTAGTTTCCTTTATTTGCCAGAATTCGTCTGCCATAAATGAGAAAAAAAAAACAATAATATTGGATATAAAAATGTTTTTGGTGAAATTAATTTCCATGTCAAATTACTGTGAAATGGGAAAAATGTCATATTAGATATGCGTTTCACATTTATATTTATTATATGGCGGGGGATATTTGAAATGATGTATGAGTGTTAGAATTATGTGGAAATTTGAATTTTTTATCATTATGAGCGTGTGAGTTTGGTAATTATTTGTAAAAGAGGTTTTAGTTATTCCCTCAACAAGAAAATATTGTTTTAATTCAAAGATTGCCAACACGTGTCTCGCCGTTTATTACATTAACTTTTTCTGTTGAGGCATCTATATGCAAAGGCTCATATCTTGCTAATCATTTAGAATTTTAATATCCACTCCGAAACAAAACTATAGCTTTTGCTGTAGATTATAAAAATTGTGAACACATAAGATCCATAATACTTCATATTCCAGATAAAAATCTTTAATTTTTTTTAATTTTTTGCCTGGTTGTTGTCAATAGATAAGAAATCGTTGAAAATTGAAGCAAATTACGATGAACAAAAATATACTAAGATCTTAACATCTTTCTGAAGCATGTGAACTTTCTAGGAATGAGAATGGGTCTTGAAGGTCAGAATAGCGAAAAAAACAGTTTTTGCTCTTTTTCCTCATTGTTGTTCTATACAGGCAGACATGAAAAAACTGCAATCAACTTCAGACTGCTATCATTTCTAAGCCACTCGTCCGACAGCTGTTAAAATTATTCCAGTGACAGCTCATTATATTGCTTACAAGAGTACAAAAGCATTTTGGTCAGAATTTTTCAGAAAAAATGTTATTCGAGATGTAATTCACGCGTGATAGTGTGATTTCTTAATATTTGGCTGGAAAACCACAAGTGGCTATCGTTAGAGCACTCCAGCATTTAAATATGAATAAATCTTTCCATCCATCTCTTGTGATACTGGTAGCGTAGCCCGATGTCACCGAAATGGACTCAAAAAAGCTAAATAGTTGCTTCCCTTGGCCGAAAGTGGTGAACTGCTGAATTTGGTTTTCTCCGATGAGAAAACGTTCGTTGTCCAAAAGTTTGTAAACAAACGAAATGATCGTGTTTACTTTCCAAAGAGGTCAGCTAAAAATGTGCACATTCATTTGGCCACCAGAACTCAAGTGCCGGCCATGGTGATGGCGCCATAATAGCCGATGGTCGCTCTTCGCTCGTATTAATCGACCGTGGCATCAGGATATATATCTGAATATATTCTGGAGGGTCTATAAAGCCTTGGGCACGCAAACATTTTGACCACAGACATAGGGTCCTTGGACTTGGTGTTGAGTCCACCATCGCACTCAGTACGATCCACCCATAAATGGTTACAAAATGAGGTTCCTCGCTTCATTTCCAGCGCACAATGGCCACCAAAATCTCCGGATACTAATCTGTTGGGCTATAGTGCCTCGAGTATTCTGGAAAGCAAGGTTAGCACTAAACAAGTAAGCAAAGGCTACAGTCGAGCGGGGCCGACCGTTGAATACCCTACAACACTATAATAAACCATACAGTTTATATAGGCGAAGTACTCGAAAGAATTCCACAAGATATTGAGACAAATAATTAAAGAAAACCATCAGGTTTCGTTCTCTAATTTTCGAAAAATAACAACTTAAACTAATTTGCTCATTTCCAATTTATTGCACTTAAATGGTCTTCCTAGATCTGGAACCAATATTTCCCAAAGACCTATAATCTCTCAGAAGTGGCAAAAAATTAACATTTATTATTGGTTTTTGACTGAAACGCATCTATATGAGATACAGACATTTGACTATATTCTTCAACGAAATAGTCAGAAGTGCGGCTTTCCTGTATTTGTGAATTCTCCAAAAAGTCTCTGGAATGGACATTTTCGTATTTTGTCTACAAAAGTTGGCAAACTATTTCACACATTGAATATTTTTGGATGGCCTTTAGAAACTGCTTGGCTCTTGCAATGTGCGGTAACCCCCATAATTACGACCTGCCGACAATTTTGCAGTTTTTTGGTCCATTTCAACCCCTAAATATATGGCGATCATCTCCAAAAAGAGTAGGCTCCTATTCTGACCCTCATCTTATCCCCATGCAAAATTTCGTAAGGATCGGGCCATAAATGCGATCTGTATATGATATCCTGATATCCTAACTACTTAGTTTTGTTAGCTGTAGAAATATTACCAAATGTTTAATTCAAAATGAAAATATGCCAAAAATATGACAAAATTGAAAAAATATGAGAAAATTTTACAAAATCAATATTTTCATCTTTAGAGAGATATTTTTATGCGATTTTTTAGACGTTTTTTCTTTCCTGCCAAGAGGCCATTCTGAATTAATCAGAACTGTCGAAATCAGTTCAGCCGTTCTCGACATATAAGAGATCTTTCAAGCATATCTTCTTTGATAAACATATATATCGCACATATTTTGCTATATATCCGATTTGTTGGATGTTAACATCAATGTAAAGGTCAGAAGTAACCTTGTCATGGCTTTGTGATTTCGCCGGGATTTAAAATATTCGCGGTTTAATGAAAAATTTTGAATTTTTTCAACACAAAATATATGGTCTATTTTACCCGCTAAATATTATCCGATGACCACCCAAATTGGTAGGCTTCTTCCCCGTCCTAAACTCTAGCTACATGCGAAATTCCTCGTCGATTGGTCTATAATTGCGACCTGTATAGCTACTGCAAAATCCGACATTTTTTCAGTATTTGGTCCATTTCAACCCCTAAACATTTGACGATCATCTCCAAAAGAAATAGGGTTCTATTCTGGCCCGACCCCGACCTCCATTCCAAATTTCCTGAAGATCGGGCCATAATTGCGACCTGTAGAGTGATTACAAATTAACATGGACAGACGGACAGACGGACAGACGGACAGACGGACGGACGGACATACATAGCTAGATCGACTCAGCTCGGCGAGCTAGGATGATCCATATATACTTTCCTATGTGGGAAACCAATATTTCGTGGTGTTACATAATTTTTGGCCCAATCAAACTTATAATACCCCCAACACATAGTGTTGTAGGGTATAAATAGACTCAAAAGAGCTAAAGAGTTGCTTTGCTGGGCCGAATGTGGTGAACTGCTTAATTTGGTTTTCTTTGATGAGAAAACATTCGTTGTCCAAAAGTTTGTAAACAAAGGAAATGATCGTGTTTACTTTCCAAAGAGGTCAGCTGAAAATGTGCACATTCGGTTGGCCACCAGAACCCAAACGCCGGCAATGGTGATGTCGTTGGTCGCCAAAACAGCCGATGATCGCTCTCCGCTCGTATTAATCGACCGTGGCATCAGAATAAATGCCGAATATTATCGTGAAAATATTCTGGAGGGTGTTTTAAAGCCTTGTGCACGCAAACATTTTGGCCGCAGACATTGGGACTTTGGACATTCCAACAGGACTCAGCATCATCGCACAAAATTAGGTTCCTCGCTTCATTTACAGCGCACAATGGCCACCAAAATTGACGTTGACTATTGTGTCTGGAGTATTTTGGAAAGTAAGGTTGGCACTAAAAAATACCAAAGTGACGATCACCTCAAGCAAGCGCTTCGTCGGGAATAGGCCAAAATACCGCAGAGCAGAATTCGGGCAGCGTGTGACTGTTTCATCTGCCGTTTGAAGGCCATAATTTGTGCCAGATGTCACCAATTCGAACAACTCTAAACTTATTCTAAAATTTTCATATATCACCATAAGAGGCTACCTCCAAATATTCGGTATTTTGGTGATTTTTGATATATTTTTACCGGAATTGTTTCAAATTGCAGAAAGACTTACTCTTGTGCGATGCTCTAACAGATCGTAAAATAACTTAATTTTCCCTTTTACTACTTTTTACCACCTCATTTTACCCCTTCTTACAAAGAATGAGTCTTGTGCAAAATTTCTCTGCAAGAACAGTTCGTAGTGTGGATTTCAAAAAATTCCAACTTACCTTAAACCCTATATAGAACAGGTGGCTTATTAATGATGTTGTACCATTTCGTTACATTTAGGACTTTTTGTTTTCTCGAAGTATGAATTTCCAAAAAAACCAGGCCTATTTAAACTTATCTCTGGCCGAAAACTTCGATCTTTTTTCAATACTTGTTGTACCATTAAAGTACGAGTTTCCAGAAATTATTCAATACCCTCAACCTTTCTCAAGAATATGGACCCTAGTGCATGTCAAAAGTCCTAGCTTTAAAGTTTGAAAGTCCTAGCTTTAAAGTTTGAAAGCTCTACCTCCTATTAGTCGTACCATTTTGTATCTATTTGGACACTTCTATGTATGCTTTAAGTACGAATATCGACTTAAATCGCCTATTTACACCATACCTATAACAGTGTAATATTTCGTAGCTTTTAGTACTAAATTTCAAATACTCCACTTCATATTCTGCTCTTAAAGTTGTACTTTCTTTAGTACCCAAAAATTAAGATTTTTTAAAAGTAGAATTCAACAAATCATATTCTGGACTTTGATGAGACAATAAGACACCAAAATTTTACAAATCTATATGTATAAAAAAATATTAAATTATAAAATGTTTATATCACTAGTACACTTTCCATCATCAAACGTTCATTTCTTAAGGAGTAAAATCATTGAATGGAATATCCTGAATTGAGAGTTTTTCCGAGATCCATGAACGTAAATGAGGCACATTGGCATAAACACCGGGAATATTCTCTTCAGCACAACCAATGCCCCAGGACACAATGCCAGCCTGATAGAAACGATCTGGGGTACCAGGCATGGGACATACCAGCGGTGAGCCACCATCACCCTTGCACGTGTCTTTACCCTTCTCACCACCGGCACATATGAAACTTTCATGCAGGCTAAAGTGCAAACCTAGACGTGTCTGTCTTAAATTCGCCTCACATGTGTCATGCGGTACAATGGGCACATCCACCTTCTTCAAAATCGTTTGATATTCACCTGCATTACTGAATTTATCCTTACCCCAACCGGTGGCATAGCAACGACTGTGGTCAAATTTCATACTTGATTCTGGCAAGCAGATGGGACGGATGTTTTCCTGCCACTGAAAGTCTTCGCTTAGGATTAGCAGGGCCACATCATTGTAGACGGCACCTTTATGGAATCGTTCATGTCGGATAATTTCTCTTACACGTCGATCTACATGGGGCAGAATTTCGTTGGTGGTCTTGGTATCCCATTCGCCTGCACGAACAATGAGTTCGTTTGCTTCACGATTGATGACACAGTGGGCCGCAGTTAAGATGACATTTTTGGCTATCAGCGAACCGCCACAGGCATACTGGTATATAATGTCGCCAACATAATCCATGGCGCGTAAAATGGCCACCATCCAGGGGAATTCTCCGAATTCGGCTTCATTATCGCGGGCACCCTGAATTCGATATGCAATGCCGTCCTTGTTGCGCCAACCGCAGCCATCATGCTGTACTGGGGGGACGGGAGGTACCACTGGTTTGGTTGTCTACAAAATACAATGAGAAAGTTATTAAATATTTGATTTCAAGTTCAACAACAGTACCTTATCGGAAAGAGCACAGCAAAGCTCATTGTATGCACACTCGGAACCATCAATACGAATATTGAGCAAACCTATGCCATCCGTATTCACCCGTCCATCCAAACACAAATGCCGGGGTACACATTCCTTTTCAAGACCACATGATTTGTAAACACCTGGTGCCGTAGTTGTTGTTTTGAAATCGGGAGTAGTTGTTTTGTTCGGTTTTGTTAGAAAAGTATCATTGATTATATCATTCAAATCTCCACTTAGCTCTGCAGTATTTGTTTGGTTCGATGTAGCTCCGAAATTTTGATTTATTAAATCGGTCAACGATACTCCCTGACCATGCGAGCGGCCGGTCAGTAGCAGTACTACGACTGTCAATAATGTAGTCACCTTCAACATCATCATACTTTCTGAGCTGTTTTCTGTCAACTAATTGAGATCGTTAAATTTAATGTTTTATTTATAGCTGAGCAATGCAGGAGATGTGTATGCGCTGGCAGACAATGTGGGCTTTTACGCTACTGATAAGGTCACAATGATTGTGTGAACCTCAAAACGTTCTTATCATCGACGAAATTTTTATTTACACAAATATTCATTGCGGAATTCATTCCAAGCGGCAAGCTAGCCGGCATTTCTTAATTGCGTACAATAACCCAGGCTTTTGGGAAAATACCAATATAGTTAGCGAAATTAAAAGTAAAAGCGAAATCAAACCCGGCATCATTTTGATCTCTCTTGGTGTCTGGTGTTGTTGATTTCCCGATCGTAAGATTGGTAATTTGTGAAATTTCCATTTTGAAATATGTATTTGTATTTTTCATAATCCAATGACCATCATACAATATAAGATGAATGTTACCTTTGTCATTCCATTTGCTACTCCTCGAAATATTCGTCTTTGTAACCTCATACAGTCTATATACGGGGTGAGATGAAAAATCTGCAACCAACTTCAGACTGCTGTCATTTCTAAACCACTCGTCTGAGCGCTGTTAAAATTATTCCAGTGACAGCTCATTATATTGTTTAGAAGCGTACAAAAACATTTTGGTGAGAGTTTTCCAGAAAAAAGTTATTCGTGATGGAATTCAGGCGTGATAGTTTGATTTGATTTTGTATTTGGCTGAAAAACCACAAGTGGCTATCGTTAGAGCACTCCAGCATTTAAATTTGATTAAACATTTTGTGTGCGCATCCGTCTCTTGTATCCGTATTTCCGTACCGTGATACCGGTAGCCTAGCCCGACGTCAAGGAAGTGGACGGAAGAAAACAACAACATCAGCAGAAATGGTTCGAAAAGTAAGGAAGCGACATGATTGAAACCCGCATAGCAGTTGCCGAAAAATGGCTCGTGAGCTGAACATATCGCAGTATTCCATTCGTCAAATATTGAAAAATGAAATTCCAAAAAGTGCAAGAACTTACACCGCAACAGGAAGAAAATAGACTTAAAAGAGCTAAAGAGTTGTTTCGCTTGGTCAAAAGTGGTGAACTGACGAATTTGGTTTTCTCCACAATGCCCACCGTAAACTTCGGATACCAATCGTTTGGACTAATGTGGCTGGAGTATTTTGGAAAGCAAGGTTGGCACAAAAAATACCATAGTGTCGATCGCCTCAAGCAAGCACTTCGCCTGGAATGGGCCAAAATACCGTAGGACAACATTGGGGCAGTTTGTGACGGTTTCGTTGGCATTTTGAAGGCCATAATTCGTGCCAAAGTTGACCAGTTCGAACAAATCTAAATTTATTCTAAAACTTGATGCTATTTCCTACATTAGTTTGCTTTCATTCAATAAAATAAAAAAAAAATAAAAATATGGCGTTTGCCTTTGTTGCAGTTTTTTATCTTACACTGTATATACCTGGTAAGCATAAAATGCTATGTCGATTTAACTGTATTTGTCCTGTATTTTAAAATTAATGAATGAGACTTGGCCATGTACATGCTAGTTACTGAAAACTTAACTATGACCCCCATACAACGGTGCCTCTAGATTTTGACTATTTAGAATGTTTTGGTTCCAATTCCCAAATCACTTGTAACTTAATGTGTCTAATTCTTATTGAGTTAAGTGCTCCACCATATATAGAACGTAGGTTTATATGCCCTCACATATCGGTAGCTCTTGATTTTGAGAGTTTCAATTCTTTCAATTCTAATTTCTAAATAAGTTAAAGCTTGATATTTCGTATTCTTAGCGTGTATTTTAATTCCTTGCCAAAAGTAATCAAAGCACTATGTGCCAAGCTGAGTCGATCAGGCTATGTATGTCCGTCCGTCAGTCTGTCTGTCTGTCCATGTTAATTTGCAATTATTGCCCGATCTTCACGAAATTTAGAATGTAGGTGAGGCTAGGGCCAGAATAGAAGCCTATTGGATTTGATTCAGTTTTTTTTTTGCAGTTGCTCTGCTAGTCGTAATTATAGACCAATCAAATCTAGCATGGGGCTAGAGCTTAGGGCAATATTATATTTACTGGGTGAAATAGACCAAAATATTTGTGTTAAATAAAAGTCACATTTTCCATTAAACCGCGAATATTTTTAATCCCGGCGAATTCACAAATAGACGAACAGGTCAATTCTCACCGTTACGTAGATGCCGATAGTAAATATATCGGATATATATAAGGAAATATATACAGTGTATATATACAAAGAAAGGGGATGTTAGCTAGAATGCGTATATCTCAAGAATGGCTGGACCTATTTTGACAAATTTTGTTAATTCAGAATGCCCTCTTGACATAAAAGAATTAAATCTAAAATAATCGCATAAAAATATGCCAATAACGATGTTAATATAGATTTTGTAGTATCTTGTGAATTTTTTTTTTTTTTCATATTTTTTATCGCATGCGATTTCTTCAATTTGATTTATAATATTGAAGTGTATATTTTGTAATATTTTTTCACCTTACAACACAGGTTGGGGATATTATATAAGTATTGCGAATATCGTCCGATCCTCACGAAAATTTTCACTAGGGTAGGGTTGGCTCAGAAGGGCTAGGCCTATTGTTTTCAAAGATGTCCGCAATATATTAGGGGTTTTAAATCGACCAACAACTAAAAATTTTCCTGATTTTGCAGCCGTTATAAAGGTCACAAATAGAAACCAAATGACACGAAATCTCGCATAAAGTTAGAATTAGGACAGCGGGTACAATGGACCACTACTTTTGTGTGAAAAAATACCAGCATTACTTACAGGTGATATTCGAAATACACAAAAGGCGAACTTCTGGCTTTTTTATGCTGATTACCTGGAAGAATATAGCCAAATATCGTAGACAAGAAAATCATATAGATTAGTCTAGATTTGGAGATACAGAGGGGCTTCTTGCTTTTGCTTAAGGGTTCATATTAAATAGAAATGTTTTTCCGATCACACAATTGAAGCCAATCGACACGCCTGTGAAGAGAGTTAAGGACAGGGAAGAATTCTAGCATTTTGGATGACCAAAATATAATCTATCTGTAAAATGGACTACAACAACTAACAGCCAGACGGAATGCATAAATGTTGGGCAAATGTCCCTAGTCAAAATCCTAATTTCAAAAGCGAAATCTTCCAATATGGATTTGGACATAAGGGGGCTTCTAAAATATTGTAGTGTTGTAGGGTATAACATAGTCGGCCCCGCACGACTAAAGCCTTTTCTTACTTTTTTATCCAAGTATTTAAGTTTTTCCAGCATTTGAGTATAGTAATGGTTTATGACAAAAGTTACCTATGTAGGTCTACGTAGTCGTATAGACAACGGCTACATTCGGCATTTTAAAGATTTTGAAAGAATTGTTAACGGATTTCAATTTTTTTTGTTTTTGAAAATTGCCAAAATCTGTTCAAATGGTGGAGGGTATTCAAAGATCGGCCCGGTCAATATTACAGCTTTTTTACTTGTTCTTGTTATAACCTCCATATGAAGGTTCCTTCTGATTGTGGTATTTTATATTTTGCACAGCCATTTTCCAACCATATAAGCTATGATTTGAAACTTCGCTTTATAATAGCTTAACTTAATACCTGACTAAACTATGCAATGCAGATCTACTTTTTAACCGTTGGTTAAGGTTTTCGCAAAAAATATTTCAAGTCATTTTTATTGTGGCTCCCAATTAATGGTACCTCCCGATTTTTCGCATATTGAAGATATCGGTCCCAATTTTCGACAAAATCAACTGTAATTTGACGTTTCGCATACTTATTGGATAATTTAAATCCTTGCAGAAAATATTCAATGTAGGTCTTGATTTTCGGCATTTTGAAGGTTTCGGCTCAATTCCCCATCAAATCATCTGCTATTTGACACTTCGGCCTTTGTCCTTCTCTCGAAAAAAAAAACACATTCTATATAACTCCCACTATTAAAAATATTCGGCTTTGCATGGAAATTTTGGAACTTTTAACACTTAAATTATGGTCAATTTCACAGGCTATTATTATCCGATGACCATGGAAAATGGTAGGCTCGTGCCCTAACAATTGTGACCTATTCAGCAACTTATAGATCAGAAAAAAATCTGTTTTTGTCCATTTCATTAATATTTTGCGGACATTTCCAAAAATAGCCTTCTATTCTGAACTCATCCCCAACACTATTCTTTACACGGCGATTATTCCAAATTTTCTATACCAATAGTTTTGGGTGTAATCCAAAGATCTCTATCAAATATCAAAGTCCTATCCCAAATATTGGGAAATATATGTCAAAATATAAGATTACCATAATATATGGCCAAACTATAAAAGAGCCTTAACAATATTTGGCCAAAACAACACAGAACTTCTTTCATTGTTTGATCTTAAAACGAGTACTATGAAGTCGTCTTGATATTTTTTACAATAAAGACTGACTATTGTGCAGTGAAATTATAAGAAAATTTGCAGGGAAGTTAAAAAAGGTGCTAAATTTTTCAGAAATCAATATAAGTTTCCTTTAAAAAATTGATGCCATTTTTATGATATGATTAGTATACAAATTTCTCTTGTTCAGAGACTGAAAATAAAATTTGATCTGGAATAATTTTTACTTGGACACTTTTACAAAAAAATGAACAATAAAGGGAGATTTTGACTCGGATAGGATACGTGTAAAATTATCAGTTAAAAAAAGGTTAAGACATATTTCTTCACTTTTTGTAAATAAATTTCGAATATATTTTTCATAAAAACTATTGCTCCTAGACACAAGATTTATTCTGAGATTAGTAGTGAAATATTAAGTAATGTATTTGTTCTTTGGACACGTTTTACCTAAAACTACATTTTATGCTACTTTCAGGCGTAAACTCGAAAAAAGTTCCTGGAAAAATTGATCAAAAAATTAAGAAATATTTTCGCAATTTAATCGGAAGATTGATATAAAAATGTTTGGGATACAATGAAAATGAAGATATATTTTCGTAAATTATAGTAACATTTGTTGAAGAATATTTTTGTCT